ACAATAATAAAACTATCCTAAGGTAGAAAACTTAGAAGCAATTGGAGGTACACACATACATCACACACACACACACACACACACACACACACAGAGAGAGAGAGAGAGAGAGAGAGAGAGAGAGAGAGAGGCAAATGAAGCTTCAGAAGGGTAAGTTCATCTTGGCTGTGTTCCAGTTCACAAATTCAGTATAAATCTATAAAATGTTTCTAAAGAAATCTGAGAGCAATAGTCCCAAAAGAGAGTATTCTTGATACACATATCTATTTCCATTCAAATCAATGCAAAGTTTTAATTCATGTAGGACAGCACACCATTCCAGTTCTGATCCAGGCAGGGTCCAACAGTCTGGCCAAAGATAATCCCTTTCAAAGCTCATCCATAAATGGTAGGCTTATCTTTCACTATGCCCCAAATCAAAATGAGGTACAGCCTCCCAGTAAGGTTGGGACAGAGTAGTTGATGTGAAAATTGTTTTAAAGGTGTTAGAAGAATGTTTTCTTACTCAAACCATACAGCAAAACAGAAAAAGAAAATAAAAGTATCCCTTTAGAAACAGCAGGTATAAGAGAGAAAAGAAACTGGATGGAAAGAACATATTTAAAAAGCCAAGTCTCAACTATTGTTGCTGGGGGAAAGGAGAACAGAGATAAAGAGGAGGGAGCCTATCTGTGAAAAGTAATTGGGAAATACTACTGGAGAGATCTCCTCATGAAAACTCAGTTCAGCAACTGGCGCAAGCACAACCTCTAAGCTATTACTCTCCTCTTCTAAAAAAAAAAAAAATTAGCTGGACGTGGTGGCGTGACACTACCAAAGTCTCCAGAAAACCAAAATGCCTCCTTCCTTCCAAGCACAAAGGTCAGTAATAATCCACAGCCTGAATGCAAAGCTTCTAAAAAAAAAAAAAAAGCAACCCTAAATGGAACCTACGGATAAATAGATCATCTTTCTGATATAAAATTCACTTTCACTCAGTGTTTTATGAAGATCCTAATAATAATCACAGATTTGGAAAGGATCTTAGATGAATTCAAACCTAACACACCTCTTTTAAAAGATAAAGAAGCCCAGAGGTACTTGTTTTTAGTCATTTAGCAAAGGAACTTCAACTCAAATCTCCCATTTAACAGGCTAGAATTTCTAGTCTATAGGCAACCTTGAAATTAGGAGAGTTGGATTAAGAATTGCACTCTTGCCTAAGCAGAATAAGAAAAGGGGAAATGCCATAAAAAAAAGTCCATAGAGTTCAACAGCTGTTCACCATTCTTAATTACATGGCGACAGACTCAACTAATCAAGCCCTCTCTTCCTTACATGTCCTACATAGGAGCTAACAAATTATGTATACTCAATACATGTTAAGACTTCAACTGCTTCAAAGTGTAACAAAACCTTAAACATGTTTCCTAAGTCCCCAGCACCAATGAATTTGTAGTTTTATAAATATCATGGTGAACAAGAAATGCTGTCTTGTCACATTCAAGCCAAATAACAGCTGGACTTTAAAAATAAAATTTTGAAGGCATTTGCCTTTTATATTTTTAATTTCTGTTTTCCTTGCCTATGGTTTTGTCATATGATTTTGATGAGTGGTTAATACACATGCACAGCTGCCTCTTTTGGTGACCTTTTCCTCACTGTCTCCAGGCTCAGGGCTACGAAGCATGTCTACAAGTTGCTTACTAAGTGATATTGTCATTTTCATGGCTGGCACATTTCCCTGGGAAGCCTGGTGGAAGCAGGGCCTCATCTTCTGGATTGGCTTACTTTAGTCACTTCAGAAGCCTCACAGGAGGATGGGGTAGAGTGGAGGGAAGGCATAGCCTCTTAAAATTGCTGTTCCAACGCCAGAAGAGACATGTATGAACTGAGGGAGAGGACATTCTGGGCTATAGGCACAGAACTAACCTATCAACTCAGCCTCCCTAAGGAGCTCTCACTCCGAGAGCACAAAGAAGTCCTGATCTTCTTAGCATTTTTCTCCATGGTAATTCTGTATGTACATATTTCCCTTTTAATCTTCTGTCTTTCCTCACTAGATCATATGTTTAAAGAGGTCAAGGACATCTCTACTTTGTTTCCTGTCTTTTATTCTATGTCTAGTTTAGGGGCTGGCACATGGTAGTCACTCAAGAAATGTTGGATGGTTCTTTTTTTAGACCACAGACTAAGTGAAGGAGCAAGTAATTTTTTTTAGTTATTCTGATACTCCAGTTTCTTCTTAATCTTACTGTTAAGGGAAATGTGAAGGAACAAAGTAGAGAAAGTATCATGTGTACCTGTTATCTACTCTGACTTTAATATGAACTGTAACTCCAGCAGACGTTGCAATCAGCTCACACTTGAACAGATGCCAGGAAATATCCTGAAGTCAGCAGAAGGCTGCTACCCATCCTAGAAGTCCTCACAGAAGCACTACACTTCAGTCAGTATTAGAACAGGTAACTTGACTCCATTCATGAACCCACAGTCCCCCAAAAGCACATGAGGTCTCAATGGCAACTCTGGGCAAGCTTCTGAAGGGAGGTTTTCAGATGCTCCTTAAGCTCCTGGGCCACTACAGCCCTTCTACTATGACACTCATCAAGCACTGCTGCTATATGAGACAGAGTAACATGAGAGCTGGCGTATGGCATGACTTGCTATTTTTAGAGCAGAGGAAATGGGCCATACTGAGGAAGGTCACAAGGAGTTTGTTCAGAAAAACGAAGGGACCGCGTATTTCTGTATATACAGGGAGTGTAGTATGGCAGGCTGCTTGGAACAATCTCAGCTATACCCTTAATATGTGGTTCATAGCAAGTGATTTAATTATTCTCAGCCTCAGTTTTCTCACCTGTAAAATGGAAAAAGTAATACCTTCTTCATAATGTGTATAAGGATTAAATGAGTAAATATGGGTAAAAAGCTTAACACATCCTCCAGCAATTAAGTGCTTGGTAAAATGTTTGCTAAAAACAAAACAACCTGGAAAATTGATTTGAATCTAGACAATCTAGACATTGAATAGAATATCCAAAAATATTTCTATATAGTATGTTTCTCTAGAGTTAAATTTTTAACATTTTCCTTTTAAATAGTTAATAATTCTGACCATGATTTTTAACTTACCAAGCACATGATATCACTAACTAGATAATGACATTATTGAGAGATAACTGACTATATTTACACCCAATATGCAGTTAAGGAAGCAAGTGAAAAAGGATGAATGACAAATTTAGAAAAGTCTTTGACAGCACAGATAAGGTGATAGAGCTCTGTAACTATCAGTCTGTTGTGAAATAAACAGAGTGAATACTCCAAAGTAATGAAAATATTTATTTCATTACAAATGGTCAACAATTTAGGTACTCTACAGTGCAATCTCCCAATAAAATTGAGATGGGCCAGACCTGAAAAAACTTCCACACAGACTTTTACGCCAGCCACAGTCTCTGTGTTGCAATCAGATGGTTAACTGCGCAAGTAACATCATTTGGATTTCCTGGCTCCTTAAGCAGAGGAACCTCACCTCTATCAGTGGAAAACCTGCACTTTTAAGTGCCTATGAAAATAATAGGCTGTTGATACACATTCTTCAAGGAAGACAGCAAGTATATTTCTGGTTTTGAGTCCTCTTCATGCCTCCCTTCCTACCTAGCTTCCTCTTCCTCATTCCACTCCTTCCTTTCTCTTCCCTTCCCCTCCCTCCCTCCCTCCCTCCCTCCATCTCTACCCCATACACACATACACATCTTAATCAGAATTCATTTTAACACCTTGTCTCCCAAACTATCATCAAACATTAATCTTTCCTACTAGTATGAAAAATTAGCACTCTGAAAACTTTCTGAAGGCTTCCTAATGTCTAATACTACTCATCTAAGTGCTCATTCCAGGGATTTCTGGGCTGCCTGGGATGGCCCCAGGCTCTCACTAGAAGCCATGCCCAGTTTAGACGCTGCTATGAAGTGTCTTCATGCGTTTTCAAGGGATTAGGGTCCTGGAGGAAACCCTGCCAGTAAAAGGGATACTAGTGAGATTCTTCCCCTTAAGCTAAAGAAGGACTTTAGCTGAGACCTGAGATGGGCAAAGTATCATGTTACTCTGAAGAGAACAAATTAATCTTCCCTGACTGGTGGGACAGATTCTGCCAAAAGAACAGCTAACGGGAAAACCAGTCTCTACTCGATGATGACACAGTAAATAACCAGGCAACATTACTACTGAATTGCTGACCTAACACGTAAATTGTACCCAGACTCTGGGGAGCAATTTCTGCTGATGTGCTGCTTGTGTATTTAAAACAAACAAACAAAAAGGGAAGAGAAGTGAACAGGCATTGATATTGGTGCGGGTAGACATTCTGAGAGTAAGGCTGGTCTTTCCACCCAGACTTCTGAGAGACTTTAGCAATGGTTAGTGCATAGGCACAAACTGGGCCTTCCCCAGACAACTATTAAGTTTATGCTAAAACTGCTGCAAACTATCATTTAATCCCCAAAATAAAACTACTGTACCTGGAAAACACTTGATTTAGATATGCTAAATACTCTGATTTGATCATTCCACAATGTATATGTGTATAAAAATCACTTTATATCCCATAAATACATACAATTATTTCTTGTCAATGAACAATAAAATAATGTTTAAAAGCCCCCCTTTGTATACTTTCCCTTTTTAAACACAAATTCAGTGAGGTGGCTGAAACACAGAATTCTGCTGTTCATTGAAATGTAGAGGATCCTTTTATTTTAAAACTTTAATGGTATCTTGAAGTACTTGGATTGCTAAGTATTTAGTAATGTAATATCTAACTGCTTCTTAAAGTCTTCCACTATAATGCATAACATAACATACATACATAGTTAAAGAGTAACATTTCCTCTGCTTTGCCTAAAAAATTCTAGCTGATGACTCCTACAAAAAACTATAAAGATCCTATGTCTAGCTCAGACACACCTTTGAAAACATATGGAGCAGCAGAAAAGAGCTAGGAAAATGCCACTCACCCTCTGCATCTTCTGGCCGAGTGAGATCGATGACACCTGGGCCCAGTTTTCCATCTTCATTTGACTTTCCTGTTAACTGGGGCCCCAAATTCTCAAAGCGTGTTCTTTCCTAGAGGAACAAATAATTAGAGGCTTATTCCAGTTTCCAAACAGCCACTATTTCCTTCCAGTTTCTGTCTTGCTTAATGGGCAAAAGTTGAATGCACAAATATCATTTCTGCCCAACTTGGACCAATTTTCATCTTTCAGGAAAATTCCACTGAAAGCCAATTGTGACATGGACACAGCACTGACAGCATCTAAACCATAGTGCCTGTAAGGAAAGGAAACCGGTGACAGGGAACCTGCCAGAGCTGCTCTGCATATCTTCTCTCTGTTGGGTTTGCTCCAGTAATCTAAAAAGAATGCAACAGAGGGGGTTGAGCCAACAATGCCAAAACTGGAAAGAGCAGTTCCTATTAAAATATACTGCTAAATTTAATGGGAGAGGAATTTTCCCATTTAGAGATCATAGTTTGCATTGGTATTCCTGTGGAAATACAAGTCAGAATTTTATGTACAACGGTTTCAAAAACAAGTATTTCAAAGCAGGGCAACTAGATGATGACTGATACTACTATTTTGTCTCAGAATTTCAACTGTGATTTTTCTGGGAAGAGAAAAGGAGGACATCACTCCTAGCCAGCCATGGAGCCAGGAAAATTAAATACCCCTGCTGCTTTAGGAGGGAAACCCAGAGATGTTTTACTTGTTCACCAGTTCTTCTAGGAGTAGGAGTCGTAGGCATCACAGTGAACACTCCCTCTGCAGCTTTCTGGATCAGTAGCAGAGGGGCTCATTGACCATCATTAATATGGTGTTCTTGTCTGCAGAAACACAGTGCATGTCCCCCTCTCGTCTCCTCACTACTCTCCTGACTCAAACTTGGCTTTGTGTTGTGCTTATGAATGAATGAAACCTTGTTGTTCATTACTATGAAACAATATTAAATGTCATGTCAGCTTGAATTTACAGACATGAAATAGCAGCTTCTAGCTCCGGGAATGGTTTCTGCATGGTATACTTAATGCATTATGCAGCAGTAGAGTGCTGATTGCTGTTCAGCCTATTGTTCAATGACCTAGTTCTGTACTGAGCATGTTCGGCATTAGATGGAAACACTCTGAGTGTTCTCTTCTGTAAGATGTTTAGAAACTTGGAAATATTCTTAAAGAGCAAACATACAATTACTTGATAGAGGCTGTGCTTCATTTGTACAGCCTCACTACATTTGTGCTTTCTAATGTGATTATTTTTGAATATCATTATATTTCTATAATTAATTCCCATCAGTCAAATTGTGCAGGAAGTCTTCCAGTTCCCCTTCATCATGGAATATGTTGAAATCTGTTTTAGAAGAAAACACAGCATAAACCTTGCTTTAATCTACACCATTTCTATGAAACATTTGCAACAAAAATTATAATCATGAATTTCCCTAACTGGGTAATATTCACTAGTTTAAATAGCAGTATGTGGGAAAACCTGTGAAATACGACACATAAAAAAACAGAATGAAAATAAAAACCAAATTAAGTACAGTTTCCTAATATCTTCTAATGCGAAAACACGGTGCACAAGAACAAATTAACCCAGATGCAGAACACAACAAAAAGCAACTATAAGCCTTGTGGGAGCTTCACACATAGTCAGGGAAAGGACAGCTGCTTTTAATCAGCCAATTTCTATTTTTGAGTAGCACTTTGGTTGTCATGATGTAAAAAGAAAAGAATTAAAGTGAAGATGAGTAGTACCAGGGAAAGCAAAATATTCAACCTTTGTTTTATCACATTGTTTCGCATTTCAAATATTTGCATGTGAATGCTTTCCCTATGTTAAATGCAAAAGGAGTTTTGATGTGACACCTGCAATCTTCTTGGAAGAACAACCTTTAACTGTATTTTCATAGGGGGAAAAACAACTTTCTCTGAAAATCAACAGACCGTGCTACCTATCAATATGCATATTTCAAGTATCTTTCTAGTCATTCATTCTCTTTGATTTTACTGGAAAATATTCTCAGTAAAAAAAAAATAATAAAGTTCCTGAAAGAATATCAATATTTTGACAAGGAAGTAGAAGAGGGAAAATTACATGCCATGGTTTGTAAAATCCTAAGACAACAAAGCTTACATGATGATAATATCTTTTCTTTTATAAAAATTGAAGTGCTCTCACAATTCAGTAGTATCAGCTTGTTTTTAATCATAACAAAAAACATTCAGAACATTCAACAACACATTCACAGTGTCTTTGAAGTCATACATTTTTCTGACTTCATTGAAAAAAAAATCTTCTAGAGAGATACTTTCCTTTAAAATATCAATATTTTGACAGTAGAAGTCAAGGAAGAATATCCAATAAAACACTTCTTAAATAGGAAGAAAATAAATCAATTATAGAAATTGTTTTGGGCAGTGGGTTGCATCTTAAATTTGATAATATTAAGCACTTGTGTTTGAGATTAAAGAAGGACCCTGCAAAGCCATGCCCTTTCATATAAATTTCCACCTATTCTCCCAGAAGATTTCCTTCTTTTCTTCAAAGAATAGCTCAGAATATTTATTTGCCAGCCACATAACTATAAGATAAGAGGGCCTGATGTCTACAAGTTACGTCTGGGCAGCTGAGCTAAGCAAAGATTTTACCGGTGAGGTCCAACATGAGCCTAGTAAATACAGGATGTGGACATGGGCACAGAAAGAAGTATAAAGATAACTTCAGTTCCATCAAGCTTAAACTTCTGCCATTATGCCCCTATATAGAACAAATATAGGCTGTGTGTGGCAAGTTCTCAAGTCCAAATTTCCACACACATGAACTAGCTGTCACCATGTACATAGCTCCCAAGTAAGATACATTGGAGATATAAGCAAAATACCTCAATGCTAATTTAATCCCACCCCTCCAGGAAAACTGCCTATGTTGACAGTGGATTTTACATGCAGCAACGTGATCAGACACTTACTTATGCATTGTCAGTCACAAACATGCAGGCAACATAAAAGTTATTGAAAAAAATTAAAGTCAGCTCTGCTGTGTTGTAGGACTGTTGGTTCTCTAAGTGCTTTGAAATTATGATATATGAGGTAGATGTTGCATATTAAATAAATATATTTAAATGATAAAGCCCCCTTTAGTGAGAGCTGATGAATGTTAAATGTTACAAGCCACAAGACGGTAGTATCCATCATCTTCATATATTATCAGAGTCAATGACGGGGCAGCCTTACTGATGACAGATAGACTGCTGGATTATTATCCCTTATTTCCAGAGTTACTGAACAAACCATTCAACTCTTTGGGCATTATTTTTAACTTTGTATTAAATTAGCAACTTTTCCCTCCCTACCATGGCAAGATTGATCAATTTTGTTTTTGCATGGGTGGAGAGAGAGAATGAATTGGGGTATCTAAAAGAACAGAGGTTTGTTTTTATCTAGGAAAAAAATCAACTTCCTCTTACTGGCAACAAATATAAAATTGTGATCTGGGGAAAGAACAGCAATGAAACAGTAAGCACACAATAATGGCTTTTCTTTGCACTTAGATAAAAGCTGAATTTTTGATGTGCACAGTATATTTTAATAAAATTTTATATACTATGTTTTATACACTTATTGGCTATTCCATTATAATGTGTGTGCTAACAGTAAAATTGCTCTTAAATTTATGTGTGTTATTTATATGTTCCCACGTAACAATGCTTTTTGTTGTAAAAAATATTCTGTTTATTAATGTAACTTTACAACCACTGCATCCAGGATCCGTGGTAAATTAATGACATTTTTATTATTTTATAGTGTCATTAAATTTTTACTGATCACTCCATCAAACAGAGGCAGTAAAGGCCATAATGTAAACTGGGACACTTAGATCAGGCAGCAGGAAGACATTCCATATAGTCTGAAGAAAACTGCTAGCAATAAATGATATTTATACCATCTTTAAGCATGTGAGAATACTTGGATAAGTTTGGCAAAACTGTTTCAGTAGTAGAGTGGATTGTGTACTTAAATAACAGTTTGCTTGCCAGTGAGACAAGCCTTTTTCAAACCATATGCGAAGTGACTGATTGCAGCCATCTCCTGAAAAACATGTGAAATGTAATGATGCACTGGGTCCCTCCCTTCTGCATTACCAAGACTGACCAGTGAGTACCATGCCTCAAATTATTTCAACATGGTCCCCTTTGCCACAAACCGAAGTAGAAAATGGCACACGCTAAGAGAGGCTTTTTGTTTGCTGTTTTACAAACAAAATGCATTTCATTTAAGTACATATGTCTGGACAATGATGTGATATATTTCATTCCAATGGTCTGAATGAGAGGTACTTTACCAATCTTTATTCAAGAGCTCATTTCTAAGGGGAGTCTGAATATGGGGGATCATTCACGGCAGCCATGGAAAATACACTACGGAGTCATTACCTATAGCATAGTTAAAACAGGTAAAAAATGATTATCTCATGTTATTTTTGTGTGTAAAATGCATTATAATTAGGATACTCTCTATACTGACTCTCAGAAATAAACCTAAATGTGTGTTATGAACTAATTGCTAAATATTCTATTTATGTATATAGAAGACAGTAAATAAATTCTACGCTCATATAATTATGAATTTAGAAACACCTAATTTCTACAAGGGGATTCTGATACGATTCTTTCTTAAGTAAAAAAGGATTTTGTTGTTGCATCCTAAAATACATATTTAAATATTAAAGACTTAGAAATCTTTCAAAAGTGTAATGATAAGAAATTTTGCAGGGAAGGTTAATACTACAGCCCCACTAGTCATGTTTTGTGGGTATTCCTAAAGCAGAGTTTTCTAAGAAAAATAACAAATATATGTATTATGAACATAAGTTCTCAAAGGCCATGACAATATTCAGAGATAATATCTTATCCTCAGAGTTTCAGCTATGTCTGCGTTATTGAGTATAAGCTAAATAAGTCTTGTTGTTTTCGTCCTAGCTCTTACTTCAATTTTTATGAACGTTTGATTTCCATTTGCGTATTTTGATGTATTTCCAACCCAGGAAAACTCTTTCCTAAACTGAAAGTAA